GGTTTCACTCAGTGAATAAAGAAAGGAAACCTTCTGTGCTTCTGTTTACCCATTAGTATCTCACCTGGTAAAATGGGCCCATCTTAGATCCTCAGTAATGTTAATCTGGTAATTTCAGATCAAAACATATTTAGGGTTAATAAATTTTAAAATAAAAAGAAATAAATAAACAAATAAAAACTATTAAATTTCTTTTGCAAACAACTATTAATGACCTTTTTCTGGCATAAATGTCATCCCCTTAGTTCCCAACAGTGTAGAAACTGTCACTACAGAAAGGGAGTACCTGTTCCTGAATATAAACACCTACTGCCATGCTGAACAGGAGCAGGCATTCATACCAAAGCAGCACCTACCCTCAGGCTCCTTGTACAAAAACACCATTTTGGAGGGCTGTACCATAGCCCTTAAGTGACTCCAAGCATTTTGTTCAGTCATCCCACTCTTACCCAAATAGTAATGGTTTATGGCCGTAAGGAGACAGAGAATCCAGGGGCTAAAAATCAAAAGCTGGTTAGTGTGTACAGAGTATCTGCTCTAGAGAAGGACACCTCTAACCACTGGGGACACGAGCCATTCCTACCCTGCTGTTCCCACTATTTGTGCTGTCTCTAACAGGACAGATGCCATGTTTCTGCTTCTTGTCTTTCTTCTAAAAATCTCAGCCTGCATGAAATCACAGCACCTGCCATCTTCTGATTAAAAAGGGGAAAATTTCTTGCCATGCACCATAGCATTTTGACGTTAGAACCAATTATAAATGAGCAAATAATAATAGCTTTTTAAAAAACATCTATGTGTCCTCCTATATCTCCCAAAATAACAAAGCCATAGCAAAGCCATGTGTAAGAACATCACCTGCTGATTGTGCTGTAAATATTCCCAGCAGGCTTTACAAATGAAATAGGTGTGGAGGAAAGAAACTTTTTTGGTGAAACATGCATTTAAGAAGAGACTGGAACTTCTCTACTGAATTTATTTTGAGCACATAGAACTCTCTGACTCAGTGATGCAACTCCCCATCCCCACATAAATAACTCTAACATTTTCAAAACAATGTTTTGATTTTTAATATTATTTCATTCCAAAATTTTCTTCATTTGTATGTAATATATTTTAAAATAATGCTCTAAAGTGTTTTACTTTCAACATTTTCCCTCAAATTTCTTATTTGCTAAAGCTGTTCTTTTTTATATGGATGACACAGAAGGCATATCTCAAAAAAGCAAACTCCAAGTCACTGTCATTTGCACAACTCTTACTATTGCAAAACTCACAGTATCATAGCATAACTTCAGTGGAATTATTGACCACCACACAAAATACTGTAAAAAATAAAAACTAGTAGAATTCTTCCATTGGCAAAAGGATAATACATTTTTAATCTCATCTCAAAAGCACAACCATGACTAAGTCTGTGGGAATAATTATGATAATGACATTAAAAATAATTAGAACTTAAATCCTACTTTAAATAATGTCAGGGTTAGCAGAGGTAGTCACTGAATAAACCAGTTGCTTTCCTGGAATATCTGTCTCTCAGGTGAAGCAGGATGCCATTTGGAGAGGGCAGACACCGGGTCTGGTGCATGCACCACGGGGAAAATTCACAGGCCTGGTTTATTCGGTGAGGACACCCATGCCCGCGTTGATCCCAGTGCCCGCAGTGCCCTTGGTGTCCCTGTCACAGCACACACGACGGGATCAGCCACAGGATCACCTGTGGCTTTCTCAGAGCCGTGTCCGGGCCCATCGCCGCTGTCCTTCAGCACCAGGAGCTGCGGGCGCGGCCGCGGGGAGCGGGGCAGGGAGCGGGGCTGGGAGCGGGGCAGGGAGCGGGGCTGGGAGCGGAGCTGGGAGCGGGGCTGGGAGCGGGGCTGGGAGCGGGGCTGGGAGCGGGGCTGAGCCCGACCCCTCCCGCGGGAGCCAGGCCGGGCAGAGCAATTCCCGTTCTAGCCTTGGCTTCTCCTGCCAAAACCACACCATCACCACGACGGGGTGCTGCGGAATAAAGAACTTAGTCGCGTCCACACTGTGATAAGACTCCCTTTCTCAGTGGCAGTTCCACGTGTAGCTCATGTGCAATATTAATAACGCCAAGAGATGTCAGGAATTTGCAGATGTCAACTGTGGCTGAAAAGGGACTGCTAAAAATCAAAACCTGCAACATTTTCTAGAAGAATACTGCCATTTATGAGGTAGGCTACCAGAGAGGGCATAATTTATGAAACAAGTGCTGAATTATCCACCTTATATTTGTGTCAGTAAAACACGGTAGGACAAAAGAGCAGAAGGAGAAAAAGAAGGATATGATGTTTATGACAATTTTACTCTAAAAACAGCATTGCTTGCCATACACAAAGAATGGAAGACAATTTTGTGGATCTACATGTTGTGAAGCAGTGACTTTCACAGGCAGCTGGCTTTAAAAAGAGGGATAGCACTATGAATGCTTGAATTTTTGTAATGCTTGATATTTTTTATGACATTTCCTGACACCATGGAAAATTATAGGATCAACCATGGAAACCCTCTAATATTTGAACCAGTTTTATTTGTAACTCTGTTTCCAGTCTTTTAGATACAGCTTTTTCCAGCATTTTGCCAGTGCAGAAAAACCTTTAAGTATATTCTTAATCCTGAGATTCTGCTGCTGGGCTCTGTTCCTGAACTTACACCTCTCAACAGTGTTCTCCAACTGTGTTTCCCTGCAGAGTGAAGAACAGAAGTTAATTTCTCTACATCTGAGGAGGGATTACTCTTTGCAACAGCTACAGCCAAGGTGGCAACCCAAATATTAACTCACTTAAGTACAGTTCTTTTAAAAAAGCAAACACACAGAAACTAAAATATTTATTTGAACTTACTAATTTTGTATCATGAATAAATGCTATTCATTGCCAGCTGGGCCAGCATGAAACCCCTCCACTGATCATTATTTTGCTCTGTGAGAAGCAACAAAGGCTACTTTCATATGATAAGAGCTGTATGGCACACTTTAAAAAGTTGTAAGAGAAGTACAAACAAAAAGATTCACAGTTAGGAAAATAAAGTAGCATCTGAGAACTGGTAGTTCAATGGGCTCCAAATTATGCATGGAGGAAGTGAAATACCCAGAAAAATATATTTGGTCCTATTGTACTAAAATGTAGCATAATCTCATTTTCATACCTGATATTTAATAAACAAATAGACTGTTATAAACAAATACAGCTTTAATAAATCTATTAAACACATGTAAAAGAGGAGGGTTTTTTCCAAATTAAGTGTGCTGGCAAATAATTTTTTTCATTTATTTGACTTTTTCTGCAGTCTTATGTAGTGAAATGTTTTTTCAGACACCAGAAGATATTTAAGAGTGGTGTGAAGTAATTTCATTGAAAGCTGAGGAAACTTTCAGTGACTGTCAGTGATTACCGACACTGAAAACCTCTGCAGATTCACAAACAGAAATGGGCAAAACCAAGTCTTGTATGTGCCCTCTGGCTTACTGGCTTGCTTCTGGGAAAACTACAGAAACAGCCTTGCTTCTTTTCAGCAAATCTTCATGCCTGGCCAAGAGCACTGCTTATTCTGTTCACAAGCAAGGTGCTGTAAAAAGTGGCTGCACTGATTGCCTAAAAGTCAGAGATGAAGAAAAGAACCAATGGGGGAAAAAATGAGACAAGGAAGGCAAAATGACCAGTTAGGCAGTGGATGACTTAAATAACCTCCAACTCACACCCAAGCTGCTAATAATGTTTGAACAATGCAATTTTCCCCTTGGCTGGTCATGCTGTTTGTGCCTGAGAAAATGAAGGGCCAGTACATGTCCGGAGATTACATGTTCCTGCACCAGTGAAGTCTGCTTTCCCCAGAATGCCAGGCTTTCCCAGAAACCCTGCTGCTGCCACTCAGCATGGAGAAAGCAATGGCCACTTTCATCCAAACCAAAACTTCTGCCTTGCCATTTCTGGTGTTGTGTTTTGCTTTGGTATAGAGCCACAGTAGCCTTGTAAATTCATGAGTATTGCTTGTGTCATGTCTTAAACTTAAAAGACATCTTGTTTTCACTAGAGTGTCGACAAGTTTTGTTTACCTTTCAAATACTTTCTCTTTAACAAGCCATAACAGAATCTAGTGTATATTATCTGTCTCAGGCAACTAAGGATAAAGAATATCTGTATCCCAACAAGACCCAAGAAGGCCTGCCTCAGGCCGAAGGCAATTCCTGGTGAGTAAAACGCGTTAACAGATTTAGTCTCCCTGACACTTGGCCTTAAATCTGTCCTGCACATGCTAAAATAACAGCACAGAGCACCGGAGTTACTTCTACAAAGCATTCCTGAGGCCAGGCCTGTTGGCTCTGCATCCCTGCGGTTGCACACACCATGTAGGCACTGAACAGTCTGTGACCACTCCAACGCACCGAGCTGCACACAGCGGGGAGGACTCCCTGGGCAACATCTGTTTCCCATCAGCTGCTACACCTGCACCTCTCGAGTAAAGAACAGCGCCCGCGGCTTGAAACTGAAGAGTTCAGTGCCCACCAAGCTCGAAACACTCCAGTGCCGGGGCCAGGAGCAGGATAGCCCCGAGAGGCGTTTGGCCTTGGGGGGCTGGTCCCCAGCGCCAAGCGCTGCCCAGCCAGGCTGGCGGTGCCAGGGACCGCGGGGCAGCCGCTCCGAGGCATCACCGAGCCCCGGCGGCCCGGGATGGGCGCTGCGGGCACACGGGACGGGAAGGGGCCCGTAGGGACCGGCTGAGGGCGGCACCCCCCGAGGGCAGCACTGGGCCAGCCCTACCGCGGGCTCTGCCCCCGGCTCTGTCCCCGCTCCGAGCGCGGCCCCGGCAGAGGGGTGACCCGGCGCCCGGGCAGGGCAGGGCAGCGGCTCGGCTCGGCTCGGCTCGGCTCGCTGCCCCGCTGGTGTCGCTGCCCCCGATGCTGCGGGAGGTGCCGGCGCGGCCGCCGCGGGGCTGCGAGGGCCGGGGAGTGCCGAGCGCCCTCCTCTGCCTCTGCGAAATGCCTCCCCTTTTCCCACCAGTGCTGGAGGGGGACAACTGCGTGTTCGACGGGATGATTTACCGCAATGGGGAGAGCTTCCAGCCCAGCTGCAAGTACCAGTGCACCTGCCGCGACGGCCAGATCGGCTGCCTGCCCCGCTGCAACCTGGACCTGCTGCTCCCCGGCCCCGACTGCCCCTTCCCCAGAAAAGTCGAAGTCCCTGGAGAGTGCTGTGAGAAGTGGGTCTGCGACCTGGACGATGAAGTGATTTTGGGAGGTTTTGCCATGGCTGGTGAGGAAACTAAAATTGGTTATTATAGTCATTGTGAGCAGGAGGTGATATCATCGTGAAAATATCCCCAGGGATTGCAAGGTGTAAGGCACATTGCTTGTATGGTCGGGGTTTTTTCTGACATAGAGTGATCAGTGGTTATGAATAAAGGCAGAGCTCATCAGGTAAAAGAAAGATTCAGAGGATGAATATGCATGGCAGTTTTAAAAGTCAATTAGTGTAGTTGCCATTTTTAAATTTCTGTTTATCTGGTACACATTAGTTCTGTGACCAGAAGAAAACAAGGACAAGGTCCTAGTACTCCAAACATTCCCACACCAAGGGGAAAAAAAATAAATCTGCAGTCGTGCTAGTTGCTCTGCAAGAATATGTTGCAACTATTGCAACTTTGTTACAGCTTATATCAGGTAGACTATGACAGTTTAGTCTACCAGAGACTTTCTCCCCATTGAATTCTGTGGCTCTTACAAGTGATCAGCATGGTAGCTAAAATGCCAGTGAATTCCAGCCTGTGATAGAGTGCTCATGTTTATTGATGGCATTAAAAACATTACAGAGTACTTGTACAGGCAGTGGTTATAAACACAGTGAATGGATTTGTAAGAAAACCCAATCCATTCCAAAGTGCACAACTCAGACTTTTAAAAAAGCTAGATAATATTTTCCCCTTTTTCAGTTTTTTCCCTATTTTCATTTTTTTCTACTGAATTATGTCTCCATCCCCTTTAAATTAAACTATTAGTTCAACATGAATTTTCGTAACCTTCTTCTGAGAGTGGAGGGCACTGCATTCTCTTCCAGTCACTGCTCTTTGTGATCTTGGGCAGCTAGTTATGCCAAAACTCAGCTAATCCATTTTAAAAACAAGTGAGAAAGGATTGAGGAAGAAAGGCTCAAGTAGCTTTTCAGTGTGCTCTGAAGTGTTAGTTGTAAAGCACATAAGGTATAAACAAAAAGTTTGACACTTTTCGATTACCTTTCCTTTTCTTTGATTTGTCTGATGGTGACAGGCTAATCCATAAGATGCCTGCAGATGAATTGTCTGCATTCTTTCAGCAATGGTCATCCCTCTTGGGAGGCCACCTTTTTTGGACCTTTGCCATTCAAAAGGCAGGAAGGCTGTTGTAGAGGAGCTTAACAGCAAGAGCTGTGACTGACAGCTCAGTTGTATTGCCTGCTCCTCTTTGCTCCTCTGCTAATCAGTGAATCAAACTGTTCAGCAATATTTGCAGAGTGCCAGGAGGGCAGGATGGTGGTCAGGCTGACCATGGCTTTGAGTACCATGACAGCTCCTGGAAATGCCTCCCCTCTGCCTCCTCACCATCACCCTGGCTGTAGGCTGTCAATAATTGACAAGATTAGGTGACTTTATGACTCTAAGGAGTAAAAGGACTTTCATTACATGCTGTTTATTAGTTTAGATTAAAAAAATCAGCATCTCTCAAGTCATACCTAATATAAATATTTTTATGACGTAGCTTCAGAACAGATTTGTGACATATTTCCATTAGAAAGAATGAAGAATAAAAATTTGTTAGGGTTCTAAACTGGTTTAAAAGTTGGCAGTAATTCTTCCAGCTGTGGACTTGAGTGAACAGAATCTAAATGCTTTGCTGATTACACTGATATGCATCTTTCTGGTTTGGGGCTTTTTTTTTTTAGATATAGGAAGTTGCTACTCGGGATTCCTAAAACGACAGTTTTTAAAATTTCTAAATCCTGTCAAAAGCATGGATTTTGAACCTTGTTTTGTCTCAAATGTTCCTTCCCAGATATGACAGAGCTCAATTAGATAGTGAGGTTTCATGTGAGTTTCTTGTAATAAAACTCTGTGGGGTTTTGTCTCCAGCCTACAGGCAAGAGGCCACACTTGGGATCATGTCAGATTCAAGTGCCAACTGTATTGAGCAGACAACAGAATGGAGTGCTTGTTCCACGAGCTGTGGAATGGGCTTTTCCACCCGTGTTACCAACAGGAATCAGCAGTGTGAGATGGTGAAGCAGACACGGCTTTGCATGATAAGGCCCTGTGAAAATGAAGAACCATCTGACAAGGTATGCTGCAGAGAGTGAGCCAGGGCAGCTCTTCAGCTCTAATTCCAGGGTTGCAATATTGGGGTCTGCAATGGTCCAGATGCAGCTGTACATAAATACACCTTTTAGCACAAGTGCAGCAAGCTGAGTGGTTTTGGTAAAGCATTGGACTTGTGTTTGCTCAGTATCTTTGTGCTGCTCCTCCAATGGGTCAAGGGAGGTGATTCTGCCCCTCTGCTCCACTCTGGTGACACCTTCCAGAGCACTGTGTCCAGCTCTGGAGCCCTCAGGAAGACATGGACTTACTGGAGTTAATCCAGAGGAGGGCCACCAAGGACTTTACCCATGTGGTAAAGCTGAGAGAGTTGGAGGTGTTTAGTTTGGAGGAGAGGAGGCTTTGGGAAGACCCCACAGCCCCTTGCAGTACTTAAAGGGGGCCTATGAGAAAGGTAGGAACAGACTTCTAGTAGGGCCTGTTATGGTAGGACAAGGGCAAATGGTTTTAAACTAAAACAGGTAGAATCAGACTAGATATGAGGAAGAAATTGTGTACCGTGAGGGTGGTGAGGCACTGCAACAGGTTGTCCAGGGAGTTGGTCAGTGCTGCATTCCCAAAAATGTTCAAGGCCAGATTGGGCAGTGCTCTCAACAACCTGATCTAGTGGAAGCTATCCCTGCTCATTGCAGAGGGGTTGGATGGGAAAACCTTTAAAGGTCCTTTTCAACCCAAACTGGTCTATGATTCTATGATAATTTAAGTCATCCCAAACAGATCACATGTATTGCATGTGCAGCTTGGCAGTTCACACAGTCTAACTTCTGCCACAAAGGCAACTGTACTACCTGTGCCTGTACATCAGAGTTGCTTCAGTGATACAGAATAGATATATCAGATTTCTAGTCTGTGAGCATCTGGAACAGTAGAGAAATGAGTGAAATGTCTGCTTGATAAATTAAACATTATCTTAATCCTTATGATGGTTTTTTTTTCCCCCAAAGCAGACCCAATACTGACATTTCTGATGTAAAAAAAAAAATTGTATCTAGGAGAGAAGACTTATACTTCTGCACGTTATGCAAGTGTTTCTATCAGGGAGAATAACATGTAGCTAGGTAAGAGGCCCAATTTATGTAATGTTCTGAGTGTTGGAAAGCATTTCTAATGCTTTCTATGCTTTCCTATTTGCTGAACAGTCTCTGCAGTTTTAAATACCATGTTTTGCAAAAGAAGATTAAACATGTGGGAGGAGTTGAGAAGATTAACAAGAATGGTCAGAGGTCTAGAAAACATATTCATCTAGGGAAAAACAGATAGAACTGAACTTCTGAATGCAAGGGAAGAGAGATGTGTTCTCATAACTGTATTCAGATATTACAGCCTGTTTTGAGTACATGGAGGATATAACGAGAAATTGAGAGTTTAGACTGCATAAAATTAAGACATGAGTGAAAAAGTACTAGGCAGTAAGAATAGTAAACTCTCGGGGTTGTCTGGGGCAGATGTGGAGTCTCTGTCATTGAAGACTTCCAAGGACAAGTTAGTCAATCATTTGTTAAAAATAACATATCTAGAGCTGGTTGTGCCTTGAGTCACAGGAATGGGTGATGACTTTTGCAGTTCATTTCACCCCTTTTTTTCCCCCTGAATCTAATTCTGTAACTTGGTCATTTCACTTGCTGATTCTCTGATGAAGCTACACTAGCCTGAGAAGCTTTTCAATATAGTTTTTTAATGAATGTAGACTGGGCATTTCCTGGATGACAAGAGTGGGTTTTAATTATTTGTCTTTCATTACTGGTCCAGTAAAATGCTGGTGTCAAAGAGCAGATCTTGCAGGTGTCACCTGTAGGTAACCACTGAAGCAGTTTCAGAGTCATCTTGCTGTTTAATGACTTAAGACAACAAATTTAAATTTTCACAGTCGGCCTGTATCTTCGCATGTCACTTGTTAAATGCTGTCTGTGCTGTGCAATGATACATCTGCTGTCCCCTCATCTCTCTTAGAAAGGGAAGAAGTGTGTCCGAACGAGGAGGGCGGCGAGAGCCGTTCGCTACGAGTACCAGAACTGCACGAGCGTGCAGGCGTACCGGCCGCGCTTCTGCGGGCTCTGCGGCGACGGCCGCTGCTGCACCCCGCACGGCACCAAAACCATCCAGGTGCAGTTCCGCTGCCCCCAGGGCAAGGCCCTGAGAAAGCCAGTGATGCTCATCAACACCTGTGTCTGCCACAACAACTGTCCTCAGAGCAACGTGGTTTTCTTCCAGCCGTTGGACCCCACGTCTGGTGAAGCAAAATTATGAAAAGCATGAATTAGATAGAGCAGAAAGTATGAGCAGTTTATACAAAACTTGACCCACAATCAGGTGAATGTAACAATTGCATATATGAGACTTCTAAAATATTTTTCAGAATGGTCTTTCAAACTAGGTGCTTTTTTTCCCCCATAGTTTATTAAATACCTCATTTTCCATTTGCCCCCTCCAAATGTCTTTTATTCACTTGAAGGAAATTTTGTACCTTGGACAGAGCCCTCTTTTTTTCTTGATGGTGGCATAAAGATTACAAAGCCAACAGCCAGACTTTCCCCTTGAGTTAAGGGAATCATGCAGCAAGTTTCAGTGGGTGTAAGACTGGGCTTCTTGAGAGTGTATTCCTTGAGGAATACATGATATTGCATCATATAAGCTTCCAGGCTCTTAACTTCACTTTCCATACCGCAGTGTTCTTTTTTCTTTTTAATGAAACTCTGTTTTTTGATGACAGTAAAAATCTTACTGATAAAAATGTTACATTCTTGTGGTTTATAAAGTACCTTCTGTCAATACCTCTGACTGAGGATTAAGATTGCACGTAGCCCTGGAAATGACATAGGGTAAGATCTCTTATCCTGAAGCACAGCAGGTTGATAGCTGACAGCAATTAAATTTCTCTTTGGTACCTTCACTAGCAGTCTAATCCAAAACCAACTGAAGTCAGTGTTGTATAAGAATTTGACTCTAATCCACATGTGTCTGTAGATATAACTATTTGGATGCAAAAATAATATATCTGTAAATTCCTCTAAAATACTAATAGTATAATTTGGTGCTTCATTTCTTAGAAAGGCGTATATGTAAATAGAAACTGTACATACTGTAATATAACTTTACAAAGTAAATAAAGTTTATGTGATTCAAAATATTTTTTCCTATAGTTGCCTTTCTTAAACTACCAGCACTTAACAGCTAAAAGCAATGGAAAGAAAAAAGGGTCTGCAGACTCCTAAAAGCAAAAGATGATTTCTTGTGTTCATGTACCTCATCCTAATCGCTGCCTTAAAAGTCATGCAGTGCCTTGCTACAGGGAAGGATGAATAATCTGTGGAGTACATACTAGAAAGGAGGTTTTTTTCAGAGTAAGTTAGCCTGGGAGATAGGATTATGTAACTAATGTTTCTGTGCCTTGGAATATAGTGGTGGTGGTGAGGAATAACTACACGCATGATTCAGGAGTTCACATTTGGGTCTGAACTACTAACAGAGTATTTCCTTGGGTGATGCAACCCTTCAGCCTCACAAAATCAGCCTGTGACCATGTTTGTGTTAGGTACTCTATAGCAATACCCTCAAGAAATAAGAGGCTGAGGATGGCAGTCTCATGTGTATTAAACCATGCATGTAGCAGGATTGTGCCAATCAGTCATAAGAACAATTGTGGAGGCATTCAGCTGCTTCAGCTGTGAGACCCAGTTTAGCCCAGTGTGTGTCTGCTAGTGTACTTGTGCCACAACTGCTCTATAACCTTGTGGTCAGAAACAACTCTGTCTTGAGAAAAAAAGGCAGAAAGCCAAATCTTAACAAATGTTGGCCTAGTGTTGTACTCCTCTAAAGGAGCTATCATCTCTGGTTTGGCAATTCCTGAGACACACGGTGGAATTCAGTTGAAGGTTAAGACTCCTTATTTTAGCCAGTGAAGTTAAGGTAAAGATAACTATAGGCAAGCATCAACAGCTGATAGGTTTTTAGTAACTTTTAAGTTATCCTTGAAATTATGAGGCCTGGTGCTGATTCAGTTAAGCTTTAGATCATGGCGTCCTCACCTGGGCTCTTGCGTGTCTTTCTCCACTAACTGCACCAATGATAAATTTCTCTGTAGTCATTGCTATTGTTATCAACACATTCCTGCCTGCCTTATGTATTTCTAGAAGCTGGAGCCAGACTGTGTTTGTGCACACATACAACACTCCCTGCCCTTGCACAATTTGATTCCTAATCAGTTTGGGTTGGAGGGAACCTTTAAGGGTCATCTGGTCCAACCCCTCTCAAAGTGAGCAGGGACATCTTCCAGTGCTTCAGGTTGCTCAGAGTCCTGTAAACTGACATTGAATGTTTCTAGGGACGGGGATCTCCACTTCCCTGGGCACCCTGTTCCAGTGTCTCAGTACCCTCATTAAACAACATTTCTTCCTTATATCTAGTTTGACTCTATCTCTTTTAGCTTAAAATTCCTCTCTCTCAGCCTTTCCTCAGAGGACAATGACTCCATCCTTCTGCCCAGTTTTGTGGCTGTCCTCTGGACCTGGTCCAAAAGGTCATATCTTCTAATGTAAGAATCTTCTAATGTAATGTTCTTCATTTCTGTGCTAGGAAATGCCAGGACCCAGGCAGGACATGGCCAGGACTCCTCAAAGCAGCTGAGAAGTCATTAAGGAGTAGATCAGAATCCAGGAGAGATGGAAAAAGGGGTTTTTAAAACCACTTTCAACCCACATCTCCTCCCACTTCCCCCCTCCACCCCAAAAATCAGGCTGGTTTGTGCAGTGCTTCTCTAATATAATGCAAGCTATCAAGTATTTCTCAGGGTCATTGTGCAAATTACAGGCACCTTGGTTTGCAAGAGATGCATCAACTACTGAGCAATGCAGCAATAATGTCTGGACAAATTTAAACAAATTTTGGATTAATAAAACCCAGCTAATCCTGAGCCGGATATAATTAGAGAGGAATGCAGTCAACTACTGACTTCCTATGAAGTAAAACTGTTCACTCACTTCATTTTGACAGTTCCTCTATTCCATCCACACCCAAAGTTATTTATACTTGTGCATCAGCTGATCACTGCTGCATTGCTTCTCCTCTATCCTTCTGTTTTCTCTTAATGTTATCCAGATTTTAATGTCATTCCTTAAGTTTTACTTTTATTGGATCATAAAAACAAAGCACAGGCATCAGGGAGAAGCAGTTCAATAAGCAGCTTCCACTTTGTAGACAAGTTAAAAAGCTTGTCAGGGATATGAACCCACCACCCTTTGTACATTAAGGTCATTCACTACTCTTAAGTTTGTGCGTTTTTTTCCCACTACAAAGACAGGAGTTTTATTTCTGATATTTTTGAAGAGACATAAATGCAGCTTCCTGCTGGGACTCCTCTTGTGGATGGTCCATCACTTCCTTTGGAAAGGGAATGTGTGCACTATGGTGTATGAGTTCAAGAGCAACTTGGGTAACTCCTTTTGCCTATATTGTTTTCCCAGCACTTTAAACTGCAGTCTGCACTTCAGTAAACCAGAGCCAAAATGCCCTCACAACCTTTCTCTAACCTTTCTATGTCTTTAACACATTTTGTGAAAAGGCAATTTGATTGTTATGAGCACTGCAACCTCCACAAAAGAGAAGTGCTATGGTGTTCAAATCCTTGTTAGTCATCTTTACAAACACCAGAACAACAGCAGTCTCAATGTCTTCTTATGTTACTATAGGAGTTCAGCATGAAAAATTATCTTTTGAAAGGAACCACAAATGTTTCCTTTGGACAAAATGAGACAAAGATCTGATCCAGTTTTAGTCTCTTTTAGACCATATACAAATATCAATTCAGTGGCTATTTTTACCTCAGCTCAATTGATACAGTTTTCATCTGCTCTCAGTTTGGTTATATGCATTCAGATTTGTTTTACTTTAATATGGACAGTTACTACTTCAATCTTTAGGCTAATTTCAGCCTGTTTCTGAAAAAGGTTTTAACACTGAATTAATTAAAACACAACGGTGGTGTGTGAAACCTGTGAAATTGATATAAGGAAACGACAATGATAAAATCCTGAACCCTTCCGGTCTGGAACTGTCAATTTCCTAGAGAAGCAAAATTAAATTACTCAGATTGAGAAAAATCAAAGCAGTTCATTTTCATATCTCCAAGTATTTCTATCTGAGCATTTCAGAGAACATCACACAGAGTTCTAAGGATGGGCCCATACAGCAATGTGTACTGAGTATGTGTTGGTGAAACAAACACAAAATATGCTGGTCAACTCATTCATCACAAGTTCTCTGAACAGTGAAGGACTGCCCCAAAAATAAGTCACTTAACACTTTTTGCTGTTAACAACTGGTAGGCTTCAACAACGAATGCTGATGACACCCAGCGTTACACCCCACAGCACAGGTACCCTGAGATGTTTGTAGCCACTGCCAGGACTCTTTCATCTCTAGGACTTCATCAAAGCAGCATAATTCTTGCATTTAATCAGCTTTGAGTTTCGCTAGGGCAGCAATCAAAGACATTGAGAAATATTTTTTTTTTGCCTTCACGGACTATGTAAGGAGACCAGCTGCTCACTGACATTAGAGTAAAAACCTCAAAATGAGTAGAATTCTACAACTGATTTCACTAAGATCATGGCCTTTCTGTTTTCCAGTATAACTCCAGGAGTAGGATAATATATAAGAAAATCTTTTGGAAAAATAGAATATAGCTTTTTTTTAATTTCTAGTCCAAGCTATACTTTTCCTTCACCCTGTTTTCAATAATTTCTCAGTGGATGGGAAGATGGATGGAAAAATATTTATTTACTGTTTCTAGTCCTACTATTTACATATTATGACAAATGTGAACTTCATGAAATAACTTTTTATTTCTCTCCTCTGAAAATTTACTACACTGGAATTTATTTTCCTTTTTTTTTAACAATAAAATAATTCTTTTGTACCAAAGTTTATTGTATTGACTCTTATTTCAATAAATCATTCTAGTTATATCCACCATGCTAGATTTTGTAATATGATCTGTCTATTGAAGGCATGAAATTTAGTGTAACCTGAGGGAAAATTGTGCTCTGGTTTTTCCTTTATCAATCCAAGTTTGTGCATTACACCCATTCTATGACCAGAGATACTACACTGATATCAGTCAAGAGACTTACCATGGAACTGCAACAGGAAGAGTTGAGTTGCAACTATCTCGTAAATATTTTTAATAGTAGTTTAAATCCCTGATGTTAACATTTTTACTTCTATAAATGTGTAAGTTAGAGCTAAGTCTGTTTCTTTACCGTTAAACACGTGTTTAAAATCTCATATGCTCCGTGGACTGTGGAGGGAGCCCAGCAGATTGCCCCAGTGAGCTTGAGTAATTAATCTCACACTAAATTTCTCCACTCAGAGAAACAGTACTGAGTAGCCATTGCTGGTCAATTGACTTAATTGAATGATTTAGCAAGCAGGCAAAAAACTCCCCTATTTATATCCCAAGATGTAGATTTGTTCTGCTTTGAACATGCAAATCGTCACACTAAAATAATGAAGAAAAGTACTCCACTGACCTAAAACTCCTCCATGTCCATGGATGTTAATTTGTTTGTTGTTATTCTCAGTGTCAGAATAAAGTATTTTCCCCAAAGCATTTCAGTCCATACAGGGACTCCTGGATCTCTGGTCTCGTGTGGTTTCTTCTCTTCTGTAGCCTCTCATGCTATCACCACCTGCTGAGACTGTTCTCCAACTTTTTCCATATTTTTTCTTTGCTTTCCTTACCCTGCTCCTTGTTATTCCCTTCCACTGTGCCCTCAAGTGGTAAATTAAGCATGTACATGCATATCCATTGCCAGGGGCCTTCTCTATGCACCCCATGCACCCACCCATCCTGCCTTCTCTCTTTCTCCATGAGACTTGCAGCTTTCAGGACACACACTGTGTCCATTGCAGCCCATTTGCTTGGAGCTGATTAGAGCTTAAGCAAGTCAACTTTTTTTTTTTTTTTCTGCTGGTAAAGATAAAGGATGTTTAGAAGGATATAAGAAATTGTTTTTAAAAAGATAATAAAATGTGTTAACTGGAGGAGATTTGCTCTCCTATGCCTCTGGGTCTGGCTCAGTTAAGACCCAGCTCAGCACTTTATGTTGCTTGATTCATAGAAATTCAGAA